TGCTGTGGCGGCTGCGTATTGTTATGATGCTGAAAGCTATGCCACCCATATTTCAAATACCAGCAGGGTCACCCATGGTGGACAGGTTTCAGTGGATCTTCCAGACTAAGACAGACTAGGAAGAATGATCTGGCCACCCACTTCCAAAAAAATCAGCCATGAAAACCCTATGAATAGCAGCAGAGCGTTGTCTGATACAGCACCGGAAGGTGAGAGGATGGCACAGAAAGACCAGGTAGTGTTCTGCTCTGCTGTACACAGGGTTGCTAGGAGTTGAATCGACTCAAATGGCACTGACAACAAAAATGTGTTTTTCTTATGTTTCAAGCCAAGTGTTCTTTCTGATTCTTTGATGTTAGAGAAAGAAAGGCTACACAGGAGGATCACCAAAGTTTTATAACGCAGACTCCAGCAAAACAGAAACTGAAATTAGGAAAGGTAAGCACACATACACACAGAGTCACTTGAGGCCAATAAATTATGACCACAACTGCAAGCAGTATCCTTTAAGTACTCTTTAGTTTCTAATGATAAAGTGCTAGCTTATCACCATGCTGACAACTGCGAACCCCTGTGGCCCTCAGCTTCTGTCTTTTCTATTTGTTACCTAGTCAGCCACATGGAATTTAACAGCACACACAGTAAAGTATCTTTCTAAGTAGACCTCTATAAAAGACATGGAACAACGCTAGTAAGTGCTTATGTCTTGTTGGCTGAAGAAATTGTCTCTTCCACCTAAATACCACCTCCCACTGCAGAGAGAAAAACAGACATAAAATTATTGTATTGTCAGTGAATATCTGTTTTATTATATGTATAGAGGAGAAAGAAGAAATTCTTTGAGCCTGAATATTGAAAAGTAAAAGACTGCATGTTTAGTTTATAATTTCAGAATGATTATATATTTTTGCTGTCTAGCTGTTAGTTCTACTTGGGAAAAAACCTTCATGTCTACAGGGTAAAGAAGACACTTTTCCACAAGGATTGTTTTTCAGTTAAAAAAATCAGTTTTAAAATTGAATCTATGTCTACTCCTTCTCAATTATAGACTCTTGATATTCAAATTAAGAATTATTGGAGAACCAGGATAGCAATAGATTAAAACGAAAGTTTTGGTAGCCAATTAAATTGTCTCATTCTTCCAGGTTTAAGATATTTATCTGTTGCTTGTAAAGGTCAATAAAGCATGTAAGCTGTGAATGTATTTATCATTCTGAATCAAAACATGAGTTCAAATATTTGCCTCTGTTTGGAATGTGAGTAACTGTCAAAGAGACGAAATATTTTTAAAATAGACATAAAATATTTTCCTTTTTGTAGGAATGTAAGGGTCCAAAGACATATGAGCTATTAACATGATGATATAATATATGACACATGCCATATTACAATCTTAAGTAAATATTACTTATGATTTTTTAAAGGGGCATTTGAACCCCACACTAACTTTAAATTTCTCTCCATTATTTATAAAATAAGTAGTGTGTGTCATGAAATTTTTACTTTAACAATTAATTTTCATGATTTTCTTTCATACATCTCGTCTATCATTAACTAAAACACACATATAACTACATAAGATATCCTTTTTCTTTCACTGGCTTCATGTCAGCAGTTTTATTTTTTAGCTCTTGCCATTGGCAACAGGCAAAGGAAATTGAGATTAAAATTGAGACTTATGGATTTTGATGTGTTTGCATGAAACTAGTTTATTAATTTGAATGTTTCCTTTATTAAAGTGATAGAATATGCATCTAAAAAACTTTTTAATAAAACAGAATATTTTCTAGTGCTTGAAGGAGGAACTAGCAGAGAAAGTGTGAAAGCATGTGTAGTTAAGTGATATTACATTCACAAGAAAAGATTTCTTTGACAAAGCCAACTGATGTTAGTAATACTTTCCTCAGTTTCCCCTTTCCTTGTCTGATCATTTCTCTCAGATCATATAATTGGTTCTGACTTGAGCATTAGCCCATTTTCTTTCTTTCCCTTCCTACAGAAGAATATCTGGGAATCTGTATGCATGTTAGTTATCATATACAGTGAATAAAGTAAATTTGTTCAGAAAGAGGAGATCTGCAGAAAGTAACCAATTTTTATTATCTCCATTACATATTCAAGTTTTTTCTGAAAACTTCCTCACTTAAAACTAGGTAATCAACCTACATAAAGATTGTTCTAAAACTTTTTTCATTGATGAATCTTTAAAGCATCCAGTGGAAGTTATAAATATTCCCCCAAGGGCCCATGTACTCAAAAGCAAATACATGCCCAATAATTTGCACATAATTCCACTGGGTTCACAGAACTTATGGGCCCATCCACTGACTCACATTAATTAAAACCAAGCAAAGTTTTGTTAAGTGAATTTTAAAATACCTTTGAAGTTAAACACATATTGATTTAACTTTAGCTTCTTCTATCTTGAGGAGAAAAGCAACCCAATCACATGATCCAAAGCACTATATTAGTTCTAGAGTTTTCTTAAATAAGGTCTCTCTTTTAATCAAAACCACTCAGAAGCACAGGAAGATGAGACTTGACTTATAACATTCAATAAAAACAAACAATACAAACTGTCGTAGAAGAAGAAGTAGATACGGTAGTTATCAGCCACAGACTTTAAAATAATTGATTTATAGTCAAGAAACTAAGATAAAAGATGAGAAATGTTGACAAAGAATAGTAAAATAAATACATAAATATTTCTCTTCCGAGTTAAATGAAAGATAATGAGGCAGAAGCAATATTTTAAAAGCCATTAAGAACCAGATTCAAGAAGTGCTAAACTCTCTCAGAAGGATACTTTAAAAAAATATATATTTAAAAAAAGAAATAAAACTCTCACTTTGGCACTTCATAGTAAAATTACTGAAAACCAGACAAAAAGAAAATTTAAAAAGAACCCAGGCAATGGAGTGTTTTGAAAAGAAATTCAGTAAGATAAATGATCTTACTGAAAACTAACTTGTGAAAAATAAAGAAGTAAATGAAATGTAGAAGACAAAGAAATGATATCTTTAAAGTGATTTTTTTAAATAGCAGCCAATCTAGAATGCTATGTCCAGTGGAAACAGCCTTGGACAATGAAAATAAAATGAAGATATTTTCAAGCAAACAAAGAAAATAACAGGATATGTGATAACCAATAGAAAGAAAGTAATAGCCAATGGAAGCACAGAGACATGGAAAAGAGTTTAAAAAAAAAAGAAAGATATGGAAAGGTCAAATATGCATGCAAATATAAAGAAATAGTACTGTTAATAAGACGTAATATGAGATTACAAATTCAATAAATTTTTTGCCATACAACAGAACTCAAGGAAGAAGGGATTAAATGGAGCAAAAAGAAAAGAAAAAATTACTAATTAATAATATGCTTTAACAGTCAAGGACAGATCTTATAATCTCCAGGGAAACATCTAAAATAATAGTAAAAGAACATAGACACAACAAACTAAAAGCAAGAGAATTAAATTCTAAAAATATAATCAAAATATCAAGAAAGGAAAGAAAAAAGGAACATTAAATAACTGAGATGATTAGATAACAAGAATATGATTATATACATAAATAGAAATATTTTAATGATTATACTAAATATTAATGGACAAAATGCTCTAATCTAAATATGAATAAATGCTATACACCATTTGAAAGAGATACAATTTTTATCATAAGGATAGAAAAATGTTAAAAATAAAAGAATAGACATGATACACTACACAAACTTCAGCCCAAAGAAAGCTGATATACCTATAGTAATATTAGACCTTAAGAAGCTTTATTATCAAAATTCCAATGGTGTTTTTCAAAGAAATAGAGAAAAAATCTTAAAATTTGTATGGAACCACAAAAGAACTCAAACAGCCAAAGCAATCTTGAGAAAGAAGAAGAAAGCTAGAGGCACCTCACTCCTTGATTTCAAACTATATTACATAGCTATAGTAATTAAAACAGTATGGTATTGGCATAAAAACAGACATACAGATCAACACAATAGAATAAGGAGCCCAGAAATAAACCCACACATGTATGATCAATTAATTTAAGACAAAGGACCCAAGAATATGCATTGGGGAAAGGACAGTCTCTTCGATAAACAGTGTTGGGAAAACTGGACAGCCACAAGCAAAAGAATGAAAGCAGGCCATTATCTTGCACCATACACAAAAATTAACTCAAAATGGATTAAGACCTGAAACCATGAAACTCATAGAAGAAAATATATGCAGTACACAATTTGACATTGGTCTTAGAAGCATCTTTTCAAATACCATGTCTACGTGGGCAAGGGAAACAAAAGAAAAAGTTAACAAATGGGACTACATTGGACTAAAAAGCTTATGCAAAGCAAAGGAAACCATGAATAAAATGAAAAGACAATCCACCAACTGGGTGAAAATATTTGCAAATCATTTATCTGACAAGAGGTTGATCTCCAAAATACATAAAGAACTCATACAACTCAACAATGAAAAAACAAACAACTCAATCAAAAAATGGGCAGAGGATATGAACAGGCATTTTTCCAAAGAAGATATACAGATGACCAACAGGCATATGAAACGATGTTCAACATCATTAATTATTAGGGAAATTCAAATCAAAACTACAACGAGATATTACCTTACACTCATCAGAATGGCTATAATTACCAAGGCAAAAAACAACAAATGTTGGAGAGGATGTGGAGAAAAGGGAACCCTCATGCACTTCTGATGGGAATGCAAACTGGTGCAGTGGAAAACAGTATGGGGATTCCTCAAAAAGTTAAAAATAGAAATATCATACAATCCAGCTATCCCACTACCGAGTATTTATCCAAAGACCTTGAAATCAACAATCCAAAGAGATTTATGCACCCCTATGTTCATTACAGCATTATTCACAATAGCCAAGACGTGGAAGCAACCCAAGTGCCCTTCTACAAATGAATGGATAAAGAAGATGTGGTATATATATACAATGGAATACTACTCACCCATAAAAAAAGACAAAATCATCCCATTTGCAACAACATGGATGGACCCTGAGGGTATGATGCTATGTGAAATAAGCCAGACAGAGAAAGACAAATACTGTATGATTTCACACATATGTGGAAGATAACAAATACATGGATAAAGAGAACAGATTAGCGGTTACCAGAGGGGAAGGAGGTTGAGGGTGGGTGACGGGGTAAAGGGGCACATACGTACTGTGACGGACAAAAATCAGACTACTGGTGTTGAGCACAATGAAGTCTCTTCAGAAATTGATAAATAATAATGTACACCCAAAATTACACAATTTTATAAACCATTATGATCTCAATAAAATTACTGGAAAAAAAAAGAAATTGTGGTGTATATATACATATATATATATAGGAATATTATGCAGCCATAAAAATGAATGAAATCTTACCTTTTGTGATAATATAGATGGACCTTAAAGGCATTACGCTAAGCGAAATAAGTCAGAGTAAGACAAATACCGTATCATCTCTCATATGTAGAATCTGAAAAAAAAACAAACTCAAAGATACAGAGAACACATTGGTAGTTGCCAGAGGCACAGGGTGGGGGGAGGGGCAGAAGTGGGTGAAGGAGGTCAAAAGGTAAAAAGAAGAAAATGTGTCTTGTTTAAAATCTGAGAGGCAAAATCAAGAGCAGCCAGTGTTAGTCTAAAAACCAAACTTTCTTTTAATAGAAACTGTTCAAGTATAAACATCTCAGTCACTTAGCACTTAGCACCTTAATCTTATTAGTTATCATTCAGTTTCAAAAACAAGTTACAAATCTTCTCTTATATTTGTCTAACACTCTAGCCTCTTTGAGAAAAAAGAAGAAGAGAACAAAAGTGTTAGTGGTATGGAAGGTATAAATAAGATCAGAAACCAGGAAGGATTAGATTTAAGGGTGGGCTTAGCCCTAGACTAGGTATGTGATTTTCAGCAATATGATGGAATTTTCTTTTTTTTAAAAAATGCAAAAGAATTTGGATGTCCAGGATGTCCTATGTTCTCTTTCACCTGAATGAACTTAACCTGAAAATCACATTGTGATCTCTTTAGCTTCCAACAGCTAAATGTCTGCAGGAGACGCAAAGATGAAAAAGGATTAGTAATTAAAATGAATGGTCCGAATGTGTTATTGGCTGAAAATCAATCTATGATATGATTGCTTTAGCAATGATATGATATGCTTAGCATATCAATCTCTGAACATAGCTTGTTACAGGAAATAAAACACTGAATCTCTTTTATTGCTTATATGAGTGCTGCCTAGATTTTTTACATTTGCTCTTCTTTTTTTTTTTTTTGTGAGGAAGATCAGCCTTGAGCTAACATCCAATGCCAATCCTCCTCTTTTTTGCTGAAGAAGACTGGCCCTGGGCTAACATCCATGCCCATCTTCCTCTACTTTATATGAGACGCAGCCACAGCATGGCTTGCCAAGTGGTGCATTAGTGCGCGTCGGGGATCCGAACCGGCAAACCCTGGGCCGCCACAGCGGAGCGCGGGCACTTAACCACTTGCACTGCCAGGCCGGCCCCAACATTTTCTAAATAAAAATTGGGGGCGGGGAAGAAGTATTATTAGCGTTAGAGGAACATGTCTAATGATAAAAGTGGCAATCCTCTAGGAAGATCAAATGATTTTAATTTAGACAATATAACATTATATAAAGAGAAAATTAACAGAAATAAAAGTTTAAATAGACAAATTTATAATCAGAAAAAAATGTTTTAACACATGTTTTTCAGTGAATGACAAAATAAGATATGAAAAATCAGTAAGTAGTTGGAAAAAGTGAACAGCATGAATAGCAAACTAGAACTAATTGGTGTACAGAGAGCACCACACCCCCAAACAGCAGAATACTTTGATTTTTTAATGGAAATGGGAAAATTAGCAAAATTAGCCATATGTTAGGCTACAAGGCAAATCTTAAGAATTTCAGAGGATTTAAATAGAGAATGAACTCCAGAATGATGAAAAATCGCTGATCTGGACATGAATATTTTAAAGCAAAGTAAAAATAGCAAATTAAGCCAAAAAAAGTTGAAACAATAATAGATATGAGTAAAAAATAATGAAATAGAAAACACATATAAAATCTAGAGAATTAACACATGAAATGTTAGTGTTTTATAAATGAATTAAATAATTAAAAATTATTTGACAAAATTAAAGAAGAAAAAGGAGCATAGACATAACGAATATCAAGAATGATAAAGATGACATTACCAAAACTGTAAAAATAAGAGAATTGATCAAAAAATTAAAAATAAGAGAATTGTTCAAAAAATTAAATTTCAAGTAATTTAAATATTTAGATTAAGTCCCTGGAAAAGCACAATTCATTAAAACTGACAAAAAACTAAATTAAAAAAATTGAATAATATTTTTTCAATTAAATTAGATTTGCATTTTAAAACTACCATATAAATTCTTATGAAATGTTTGAATTCCTCCAAGCATTTAGAGGAAGAATTACACTCATTTTGCAAAAAACTCTTTCAAAAGTATATAAAAAAGAGAAAGACTTCTACAAATTTCTTTTATGACATCAGTCTAACTTGAACAACAAATCTGACAAAGACATTAGAAGAAAGAAAATTTACACCAATCTCTCTCATAAAACACGATGCAAAATACCAAAATATTTTAGCAAAACAATTAATGCATTATGAACAAATGAGTTTGTTCTAGGAAGATGTGGTAGGCAGAATATGGCTTCCCAACGATATTCACACCCTAATCTCCAGATCCTGTGAATGTGTTACCTTATATGGGTAAAAGGGACTTTGTAGATGTGGTTAACTGAAAGATTTTAGAGATTCAGGAAATTATACTGGATTATTCAGGTGGGACATATGGAACCACAAGGGTCCTTATGAGAGGGAGGCATGACAATCAGAGTCAGTAGTAAGAGATATGATAACAGAAGCTTTGAATATATTACCTTATATGGCAAAAGGGATTTTGCAGGTATGATTATGGTTAGGGATCTTGAAATAAGGAGATTTCTCTTGATTATCTGCGTGTCTCCCAATCTAATCACATGGATACTGTAAAGCAGAGAACCATCCCTGGCTGGGTCAGAGAGGTGTGATGTGAGAGGAACTCGACTTGCCATTGATGACTTTGAAGATGGAGGAAAGGAGCCAAGGAATGTATGTGGTCTCTAAAAGCTGGGAACAGCCATCATTGGATAGTTCATTAAAAAAATGGGAATTTCAGTTGTACAACCACAAGGAACTGAATTTTGCCAATAACCCAAATGAGCAAGGAAACAGATCCCAAAAGCATTCAGAATAAATGCATCCCTGCCGATACCTGTATTTTGCCTGCTGAGACCGGTAATGGACATCCAATCTGTAGGATTGTAAGATAATAAGTTTGTATGGTTTAAACTGCTGAACTTGTGGCATCAATAAAAAATTAAGCAGAGGATGAAGATGATTTAACATTCAATAATTTTAAGGGTTCAACACAAAGAAAGAAAAATCATATGACTGATAACATAGATGTGGAAAAATCATTTATTTGATAAACTCCATACCTGTTCATGACAAAAACCTTGGCAATTTAGAAATAAAAAGAAACTTTCCTAATGTGATAAAGGTTATTTTTTTTAAAGCTGTACTGGGGCCAGCCTGGTGGCGCAGGGTTAGGTGCGCGTGCTCCACTTCAGTGGCCCGGGGTTCGCAGGCCCAGATCCCGGGCGTGCACCCAGGCACGGCTAGTCAAGCCATGCTGTGGCAGCCTCCCATATAAAGTAGAGGAGGATGGGCACGGATGTTAGCCCAGGGCCAATCTTCCTCAGCAAAAAAGAGGAGGATTGGCATCGGATGTTACCTCAGGGCTGATCTTCCTCACACACACACAAAGAAAGCTATATCCAGAACTTTCCTGAATGGTGAAATGTTAAAATCTTTTTCTTAGAGAACTGAAATAAGACAAAGATGCCTACTATTACCATTTTTAAGTGAAGATAACTGGTCAAATAAGAAAAGAGGGTGGCAATATGGCAGATTGATTACAAATTTCCCCCCATCCTGCACTTCTCTCTGAATCTAAGCTTTTGCAACATGACTTTGCGGCTTCTCCCATCAAGAGGTGGTGTCTATTCCTGCTTCCTTGAATCTGGGTGGGTTTTATGAATCATTTTGGCAGTAGAATATGGCAGAAGTGACAGTGTGACAGTTCCTGGGATAGGCCTCAAGAAGTCTTACAGGCTTCCACTCTCTCTTTCTTGGACTCTTGCTTTCACCATGAGAAAAAACCTGGCTAGTCTGCTGGATGATGAGAGACGATGACTAGCAAACCTAAGAAAATACATGGCCAGCTGACACCCAACTTATCCCAAGCCAGGTAAGAAGGCCCAACCAAGTTTAGCGGAATCACCTCCCTGACTCCCAGCTGACTGATAATATATGAATGAGCTCAAATGAGATGAGAAGAAAAATCCAGACTATCCACAGAGTCACGAGCAACAATTTTAATCAGCTGTTTTAAGCCACTCAGTTCAGACCGCTTTGTTATTCAACAGTATTGTGACAACGGATAACAGATAAAAAGACCAAGGTGTTTGTAGAGGACGTACAAGACAGGTCTAGTCTCTAGGAGATGGTGATTTATATTCGACCACTTTTACATAAGTAATTTATATGTATATGTTTAACTTAACAACTTAATATAGTTATGAATATATTAATATTGTATTTACTGAGGTATTCTCAAAATAACCCTAAATCTGGGTGGAATTTACTGACCACTGAATTTTGTACAAGTAGAATAGAATCAAATAATTTTTTAATTAACTCATCGTAATGGAAGGAAGAATTAACCAAATAGTAACTGAATAGTGATGAAGAGAGGAGTATGTTCAAAAAAATTGATAAACTGTTTATGCTATAAGTTAAAACAAGATATATTTAGCACAGATTGTATTTTCAGGTGCAAAGCAAAAGAAGGAGTTTAAGAAGTCTGCCTGTATGTTCTGTTAGTAAAGTCTGACAAATTCAACTTCCTGGAACTGCTCAATGCCCATTGTTCTTTTTGCCTCTCCTCTACTACATTTATCTTGAAGAAAGTAGGACCAAGGAAAATAAGTACTCCCTGCCTATCCATCTTGATAACTTAATGCTTCTCTATGCCTGCAGCATTGTACATTAGCGTTTTGAGCAAAATCTATAGGTCAATCAATCTCCTGCTTGAACCAAAGTGCCAATCTGTCATGTAGTGTAACACATTCTCTCTCTTCTAACCAAATTTTTAGGCTCTGAGTTTATTTTTCTAGATGATTCTGTCAATGTGCTGCGTGATAGAAAACGAGTCATATGTTAACCCTGCTTGCACACAACCTGATAAGCATCGCCATGAACTACTATTTGATAGATGGCCACATTAATGTAAATATATCTTCATTACAAATCTCTAGACCATAGGATCTTTCAAAAAAAAAATAATCCTAATATCATGTTATCCACAGAAGGAAAATAAATTACAAAGCAAAGTTTTTCA